TTATTCTGGTGTTAATAACAATGATACTTCGATCTCTATAATCCATCGCATACGATTGGTTTAAATGCATCACGTGACCAAATAACCTCCCCCAGCTAAAACTGGGGGACTTCCGAGGATATCACCCAAGTGATATCCCCCAATTCTTAAACCTTACGCCCACTACGATTCATTTCGATTTAAAATTTGATTCAAGACGAGAGAGCGTTTTATGGTTGTTACATAAGAAGGGAAACATCTGTTTGTTAATAAAGTTGTACCAGAGAACACTAAAAAGAAAACTTCCGCACATTAAGCTGTTATTTTTTGTTTTTTGTTTTTTTTTTTAATTTCACGCGCGTTGCACGATATTATCTTGATCCCTACCACCTTAGCTCTCAATGGAGCAAATTTAATGTTTGAAATATTTAACTTCATTTTGTACCGTGAAAAAAACAATAGCAAAAAGGAGGGGAAGTCCGAAAATAAATTCAAATTGTTAGAAATCAGTTTAATGCATATGTTTGAACCATTAAGATCAAGAGAAATTGATTTATATGTTAATTGTAAAAATTCCTTAGTATGTGACTTTTATATATAATGATGTGTATCTAGATGTAGCAACTGAACCAGCAGAGCTGCTGTTTTAAGATGTCTGATGGTTTCAGATGGAATGTGATAAAATGAAAGGAAGTGACACACGCAGAGGAAAAGTTAATTCAAAATAACACATTAAGAAAAACTTTTTCGGAAACATGGAGGAAAGCATTTTCACAGGGCTCCAAGGAATATGCGGTTAGCTCTCGCACAACAAAACCCGAACAGAAGATATATTTCGCGTAGTTAACTTCTTGCAAAGAAGTCGAAGTATATTTCGAAATAAAAAGCGCATACAAATACAGAGAAGTTTACTCAAACACTGTGGTGTCCTTTCTTTGTTTGGTAAACCCTTTGTTTCAAGCACAAAAAGTGTCGAAGTGAGTGTTAACTACTTAGAAACACGTGGGAAAAAAAACATATTCACAGGCCAATAGCACAAACAGACTGAAGATTCCTTTCGCGCAGTTAACTGCTAAAGTGCAGAAGACAAAACGGAAGTTCAAAGAGCGACCGAGAAGATGAACTCTAGCATAAAACTTCAAGAAGCTATTCCCACTGAGTGCAGAGGTTTTCTTTTCATTGGCGATGTAACAAAGCTGATTTCCACTTTACCTTACGCCAGTTTGATTGTCAACATAGTGAACTTGGTATTAACATTTCCTTTTACAGTTGTGCTGAACGCACTGGTAATGTTCACTTTGGGGAAGAAAGCGCATCTACAAACCGTATCTAACGTAGCTCTGGCGTGTTTATCAGCTACTGATGCAATGATTGGAATCTTTGTTCAGCCTCTGTCCGTATAATTTATATCGAAACATCATCGTTATTAACACGAGAATTATCTGTTAAAACTTACAGCTGTTCAATGCAAATCGTAACCAGATATTTTATTAACTTTTTTTGCTCTTCTTCGCTTGTCCACCTGTATGGTGTTAATGTCAGGAGAACGCTACATGGCTATCAAGCATACCTACACTCACAGCTAAGTCTTCACCAAAACCCCGGCGCGTGTTGAAGGCCTCAGCCGTAGCGGGGATTGTCACAGCAATTGCACATGTCTTGCTGTTCATCGACCAGAAAGTTTTCAAACCTATCACTTCAGCTTTCGTTGGAGCAATTTTATCGTTTGTCATTTTCTTCAACGCCATGTTGTGTCGTGAGAGTCGTCGATATGAGAGGCAAATTGCAAACCATCAAATTTCATTGGAGGCCAAGGAAAAGTTCTTAAAAGAGAAAAAGCCCCTCAAAGTAACTATCAGTATCGTGTTCATTTCAATAATTTGTTATTTAGTTCTTATTAACCGAGCCGGAGGTCTGTATGGGGGAATCTTGACCGAAGTCGCCAGTACAGACCGAACGCAGTGAGGTCTGTACCAGCGACCGAGGTCAAGATTCTCCCATACAGACCGACCTTGCTCGGTTAATAAGATGTTTATTATATGGCTATGTCTTATATGCCAATTTTTTATATTCTTTGTACCTTTTTTTTTCTAGACCGGTCTAGATGCCGGTCTAGATGGGAAAATCTAGACCGCTTTCAATATTAATTTCAGCCAATCAAATTCGTGAATTCGGTAGTTCCCAGTCCTTGTGAGACACAGCCATATAATAATTAACAATTATTCGCCGAAGGCGAGGTGAATATCGTCGAATAATCCCCGAGACGAAGTCGAGGGGATTATTCGACAATATTCACCGAACCTGAGGCGAATAATTGTTTTAGTATAATTTCAGAGCTGAACAACAGAGAAATTTCTAAAATCATAACATTTTAGTAACTTTTATTAACATTTTATTTAACATTTTATATAAACCGCCTGGAGCGGTTTATATAGCTTCATATAAGGAACCGCTCGACCAATCAGATTGCTGGAAACTCTTTGCTCAGCTCTGAAATTATACTAATTACCAATAACTACTTTAAGAGTAATTGGTCACGTTTTGGGGGTCGACGGAATCTCTCCAAACGTAGTAGGTGTAGTTTTCATCTCCTCTGTTTTGTCAGCACTTCTCAATTCCCATCTAAATCCATTTATTTACTCAGTCAGATTACGACAATTTCGCGTTGCATTTATTGAAAGGTGAACACACCTTTCCACGCTCTGTAAGGTGATAAAGCCACGTAGCATGTTGGGTACACGAGGAAAACTTATAAATCACTAGCCGGAGGCTTTCTGAGATTTTGGCCGGAAGTTATCGCTAGTCTAACGCACGCAGCACAGTGTGGTGTGAAACAGCTAGAGTCTTTTCATAAGCGTCGAGTTATGGCGGGAAATTTTTATGTACAAGTTTTTCGAAAGAAGCTTATCACAGATACGAATTATGTAGCGTTTTCGTTCAAACTGAAATAACATGCAAACTATTTGCCCCATCCCTGTAAAAAGTGTACCATTTCTTAAAGATTTCTTAGCATAGTTAACTGCTATGAGACGGTTGACAGTCCTAAACTTAAAGAGTGTTCTAGGTTTGCACGTGATTTTCGATCGT